TTATCGATTATTTGAAGAATGCTAAAGATTGGGAAAATATTCATGCACAGATTTTAGCAGAAAAAGATATGGCTAAACAGTTCGAGTTAAGACGAACTAAAGGCTTTACGGTCGACTATTATTTGTCTTCTGCTGACGCTATTACTGAGGATGGAATAATTGTAAGTATATCTTTTTGTAGAATATTCCAAAAAACATTTCTTTGAGGAACGTTATATTATGTGACCTAATCAATAATAATAAATTTTATATAATAGGTTGGATGTGATTTGTCAGGAACTCGTGTCGGTGCTTGGAATTCAGCAGCCGGGAAACTCATTATAGTTGCTGGTACAAACAAAATTGTTAAAAACGAAGAAGAAGCTAATGAACGTGTATATAACTATGTACTTAAATTAGAATCAGCACGTGTTAGATTAGCATATAAACTTCCTGCTAGTGATGTCACAAATTATTGCGTTATTAAAAATGGTAACCCTTTTAATCCTAAGCGTGTTCATGTTGTATTGATTAAGGAGTCTTTAGGATTCTAAGTTGATGAGATTCTCTAGCAATTAAGATCGTTTTGTATAAGATTTATTGCTTATTTTTTAGTATATGTTATATATATTTTTAAACTATAATAAAATTCCTTAATGGATCGTATTTGTTATTTTGTACTAAAATAGTATATTTTTAAAAACTTATAAAAAATTTAAAAAATCAAAAAGTTTAATTATTTTATATAAAAAAGCTAATAAATATTCAAAAAAAATTGGTTAGCAAATTTGTTGTATTACAATATACTCTCCCAAAACTAATTCTGTCAAAATTGATAATCTGTTATAACTGATAAAAAAATATTAATCATGTCTGTTTTGTAATTTAAACCCGATAACCTGCTATTTCTGATAACTAATACTCAAAAGGTCATGTGCCTATAAAATATCAGGTTTGTCAGGTATATAATCAATTTGATTGGCTCAGATCAGGCTTTGTGTAATCAAGTAGGTATGAGTACTCATATGGGCCAATTTTTGGAATTTATAAATAGAATGTATTTTTTAAAAACTTTAAAGCTAAATAACTTCTGATCTACTGGTCCGTTTTAAATGATTTTACTACCAAAATGTTCGTCTCATTGAGACGATTCCAATGAGCTCAAAATCATTAAAATCCAA